TGGCTGTAAATGACTTTGTGTTGTCTGTCCACGTGTTAAACTACTACTCCTATGTTAATGATGAAATCAGACATAAGAATCAAATGAAGTCATACATTATTTTAAATAAGTATATTTTTTTCCTTTAAAATGTTAAATCAACATGAAGTGTGTGTGTGATTTGTTAGCTTCTTTCAAAGGCAGACGAAGCCACTGCCCCAGCTTTCTTAAAGCCTAGCCTTCCCTGATTTATACTTTTATCATTTCCCCAATGCGTCCTCAGGGAAGCCAGCTAGTTGAGTTTGACATTCAAGGCTATCTGTGAGTGACCCCTAACCTACATTTCCAACATGATTTCTTACTATTTCATGTATAAATCATGCATCAGTCATAAGTTCCAGCCAAACGAGTTTCTTGCTTTCCCTTGAAGGAAGCATAGTACAAATTATTAGACAGTGGCCAGATACAGCCCCAGTCCATTCCTTACTCATGCTGATCCTCTAATTTGTATGCCTTTCCTCTATTTCTTCTGAGAAAAATTCTGCTCATTCTATATGGTTCAACACAAGTGCTGCATCCTCTATAATCTTTCCTATGGAAGGAGGTTTTTTTTTTTCCATATTTGAACCCCCACAGCACATTACAACTCCCTCATCTCACCTGTTACCTTCATTATTGTTTTTTATGCATTCTGTTTTTCCTACTTTCTAAGAGCTAGATTCCTATGTATTATTGTACCAATGTATGCCATAGCACATAATAGATACTCCACAAATAATTGTTAAATAAATAATGTCTCATTTTCCTCTCATCCATCCATTCATTCATCCAATCATCAGGTATTTATTGAATACCTACTGTATGTCAGGCACGTGCTAGCTGGTAAAAACTTGGTTTGATGCTTATCTGTGGATTCAGTGATCCATGCTATTGCAATCCTCCACTCTCATGGGGAAAGATCTACCATCAGGAGTACTTCTTTTCTATTACTGCCAATTGCTTATTTTTCAAGATGCCCCTTACTGGCACATTTAGCAATTCGTATCAAGGTTATGCATTTTGTGCACTAACCACACTTTCCGCTTCGTTTTATTCTTTCTATTTTTATTTTCTTCAAGTTTCTCACTTAATTTTTGTTTTGTATTAATAGCTACCTCAAGTCTGTTTGAATTGAAGCAAAGTACCAATAAATAAGGGGCCTTGGTGGTGCAGTGGTTAAGTGCTTGGCAGCTAACCAAAAGGTTGGCTGTATGAACCCACCAGCCGCTCCTCGGGAGAAAGATGTGGCAGTGTGCTTCTGTGAAGATTACAGCCTTGGAAACCCTATGGGGCAGTTCTACTCTGTCCTGTAGAGTTGCTATGAGTCAGAATCAGCTCAATAGCAATGAGTTTGGCTTTTTTTTTTTTTTTTTTTGGTTTACCAGTGAAGAAATAAAGAAAAAGAAGATGTTATGGATTGAATTGTGTCCCCCTGAAATACTGTAAATCCTAACCTTTGCCTGTCGTTATAATCCCATTTGTGAATGGTTTGTGTTTGTTTATGTTAACAAGGCAGGATGAGGTTACATCAATGAGGATTAGGTTATGTTTATTACTTTAATGAGGCAGGAAAATGATATATCTTGAGTCAATTTCTTTTGAGATGTAAAACAAGTGAGCTAGAGAAGCAGAGATGGAGGAAGAGATGTGTCAAGCCACATGAAGACTGCCCAGGAGCAGAAGCTCAAAGAGACAAGGACACTCCTCCAGAGCTGACAGAGAGAGAAAGCCTTCCCCTAGAGCCGGCACCCTGAATTCAGACTTCTAGCTTCATAACTCTGAGAGGAGCCCTGGAGGGGCAGTGGTTAAGAGCTTGGCTGCTAACCAAAAGGTCAGCAGTTCAAATCTGCCAGCTGCTCCTTGGAAACCATATGGGGCAGTTCTACTCTGTCCTATAGGGTCACTGTGAGTTGGAATTGACTCAACGCCAGTGGGGTTTTTTTTTTTTTTTTAACTGTGAGAAAATAAATTTCTGCCTGTTAAAGCCAGCATTTGTGGTATTTCTGTTATAGCAGCACATGATAACTAAGACAGAAGACAATTTTAAAAAATCAAGCAACTGTCTCCAAACCAAATCCACACAGTGAAACTGCTGGAAGAGCTCTTGCTATAGAGAAGAATTAAACAAATTGTAGGTCTTGGACCCTATTCAAGGGGATTAAGTTCTAAGGTAGTTATTTACAAGACGATCTTACTTTTAATGTAGTCCCACAAGCGTGGTCTTAAGAAAACTGTTAGGAAATGCTATTACGTTCATTCCAGTGATTGATGATATTTGAAAACAGCATTGTGAAATTGAGACTGTTTCACAGAAGCCAGAAAACATGAAAAAAAGTTGATGTACTTAAAAATTGTTTTCTATTATATTGATGACTTTTTTTATTTTTTAAACCAACCTTGCTAGGGAGATGAACTATAAACTTCAGAAAAATAAAGAAAACAGAGTTTCAGGTATTATAGAGGTGCTGTCTGGGAGAAATGGTTTCTGAGAGTGGTCCACAGGATCTGCAGGAAGTCAGTACCAACAGTGTTGACCAAAGTATGTGTTCTCTCTTCTCATGCCACAGAATTGCATCAATCTGCCAACAGGCTGTTATTTAATACCTAAACCTCACTAGTAAGAGATTTTGTTATTTTGAACTTCTATTTCTCTTTTAATAATTTTACTAACACAGCTTCACCTCATCTATCCAGTGAATATCAAGCTTCTTGTTGTGTGCCCATGAGTCAATTCCGACTCATAGTGACCCTGTAGGACAGAGTAGAACTGCCCCATAGGGTTTCCTAGGCTGTAATCTCTAGGGAAGCAGATTGCTAGGTCTTTTGTTCCATGGAGCTGCTCGTGGGTTTGAACCGCTAACCTTTCAGTCAGCAGCTGAGCACTTATCCATTGTGCTGCCAGGGTTCTCATCTCAAGCTTAACAGATTGTATTTAAACAAGGCAGATTGTTGATTCCTAATATCAGTTGCATTTTTTTCCCACAAAGATTATTGATAATTAATTAAAATTAAATCCAAAGATATTTTTCACAGGCCCAGCAGCACTGTGTCTTTATGGTTAAGTTTAGGAGACAGAAAACACAGCATTGCCAATCATTCCATTAAAATGACAAAACCAATTCAGGAAACCAGATTTCTGAACAATTAGTATCCACCACAACCAGTTGTAGAGTCAACTCAGACTCGTGGTGACCCCATGTGTGTCAGAGGAGAAACGTGCTTCAGAGGGTTTTTAATGGCTGATTTTTCAAAAGTAGCTTGCCAAGCCTTTCTTCCCAGGCACCTCTGGGTAGACTTGAACTCTCAAACTTTCAGTTCGCAACAGACCACCTTAACTGTTTGCACCACCCAGGAACTCCAAACAATTAGTATAGAAGAATAAAAAAAGAAGGTCTATAAAATAGTAGCTATTTGAAGTTAATGGTATACATTGGCTATGGGTGTGATATATAGCTTATTTAAAAACATATTTTAAAAAACAAGTTTCAGTGGATGATTTTAGATTATGTTAAACCCCAGTGTATTAGCTGTGAGGACTTGTCAAGCTTGGTTGTTTAATCTATATTTATCATACTCCAGTGCTGCTCGTCTCCTAGACTGGGAGCCCTCAAGGGCAGATGCTACACACCTTTTTATTCCCATCACTCAGCACTTGATAGATTCTCAACCAGTGTTCATTGACTGAAAGACTGGACTTTTGCCTCCTCTCCATAATCCTAAAGGAGGCCAAGATGGCACAAACCTCAGCCTTTAAGAAGAATGGACTTAAACACTAGTTGATGTGTTCCAGAAAACTCTTGGCATAACTATAGATCTAGAAGAGATAACACAACAAATTTATTATTTTGCCCCCTTTTCAGGACATTCTCACAGAGTTCAGCTTGATCTAAATTGTGCCTTCACATACCTGCATACACACCTCACTGTAGTGATGGGAATCCCTGTAAAGCAAGGGTAGAATGTATAGACAACGTGTTTTTTCTGTCATCTACCTGTTTCTGAGAAAATTTCTTTGTTTAAGAGCCCCTCTTATGGTCCAAAGTTAGCCCTTCCCAGGTAGACATTGTCTGGGCTTCAGTGAACTGCTCCGAGCTACCCCAGAGAACTGATGTTCAAAAGTGAAATGCAATCTCACAGAATGCAATTACCTAAGCAGCTGGGCTTCAACTTTTTTGTTTTCAGAGTGACACCCACTAATGAAGTGCTAACATATCCTAAAAAACTCCAGAATTTATAATTTTAGAAATATGAAATAGAATTTGCAATGTGATCTCAGTGGCTGGGGCACTTCTCCTTGCAGAGGTTTTTTATCTGATTATAAAACAACAGCCTACTTCTTCAAGGCATATTAGTGCCATGAAATCATGTTCCACCTTTGCCCTCTTTCATCATATCAGCAGGAGCTTAGAGTCTGGTATAAGAGAAGGCATGACAGAGAGGTAATTTCTGCCAGTGCCCTGCTGGCCTTCCCTGTAAGAGATGACCATTTAATTTTTTCTGGGCATTGAAGTTGAGCTTTGATGGTGCTTTTGACCATATTATTGGGTTTGCATGAGTAATTTTCAGTAATCTGAAACCTTTGGGGAAATGGTCTCAGAGACCCTGACATCTGCTGGACCCTCACTTCTGGTTTGGAGACAGTGACACCTTGATGAATGAAGGGAATCATGTGTCTTCTCCGTGAGTTTGTTTTTTGTGAGATTTCAGAACAAAATGTTGCTTGCTGAGGAAGTGCCAACTCCCGCCTGGCCACCCTGGCCCAGGGGAGCCGCCCTCAGACCAACATGCTGGGAACAGAGCTTTGCCCCTGTGGTCTCAGGTGGTTGAGGTGCTGCCTGCGCACACCCCGACCTCCCTTGGCATATCTCCCAGAGGAGCTGCAGCCTCAGTGCGGCCCGGGATGTCTGCTCCTTGCTTCTTGGGGTCTCCATAAGAAGCAGAAAGATCTAACCAGTGAAGCAAAGCCCTAGGACACATTTGCTACCATCACCTCTGATGGTTGCACCTAAGATAGAATTCTTGTAGCCTCTTGTTTAGCTTTTCATGAGGGAACCAATTATGGAACCCAGGGTAAACCCTTCCACCCAACTATCCTGAAGAGCAAAAGTAGCAAATGACAGGCTATGACAGGGGACTGACTTTGGGGGAGGCTGGGTTTGTGAAATGAGAGCCAAATATGTTCTCACATTCTAGCCCACAGATTAAATTACTGAAAATAAATCATCATCACCTCTACCCTCTTGTGTGTTTGCTCCTACTCTGGAGAGTAATCTAACTCATCGTTTGCAATCAGGGCCTCGGAGTTCTGTTTGTGTTTGCTTTTGCTCTTCACTTTGCTACTTGTCCGGCTGTTTGCCTTTGCATCTGACATCTGTTGGTAATAGAAGCCTTTGTCTTCAGCGGGCCTGCCCCAGTCCTCCTGGCTCTCGCCTTCTGTGGCGTAGGAGAAACCCTCCTCCACCGAGAAGGGGTCGTCCACGTCGTAGCGTTGGTACCTGCTTTGGTGCAGGGCCTCCTCTCGTGCGCTGATTTCCAGGGTGCTGTTCCAGATGCCGTATCCAAAGTAAATGAGCATACCTGCAGGGGAGGAAGGGCACAGGTGGATGAGCAGGTGCTTTGGGACCCTTGGGCCTAGCAGGGAGATCACTGTCAATGGTGAAACCAGAGATGGTGTGGATGTGCTTTCTTTGGTCTACACAGTGTTTTGAAAAGACTCTACTTCGATGCCATTTAAAAGTGGGGAGATCTTGTACTAAACAATCCATATTTCCAGCTTTCCCTAAAAGGTCAGAAAGTGACAACATGGCACCCACATTCCTACATCACAATGATTGGGTGGAGGTGAGAGTAGATGACTCTTTAGACAGGATATTCACTCTCTAGGTCAATATCCAGTTCACTATATTCATGTAGTGACAGCCTGGAATTTGCATTTTTTAACCAGTTGTTGTACAGTCAACTCTGACTCATCGTGATCCCATGTGTGTCAGAGTAGAACTGTGCTCCAGAGGGTGTCCAATGGCTGATTTTTCAGAAGTAGATCACCAGGCCTTTCTTCCAAGGCACTTCTGGGTGGACTTGAAACTGCCAGCTTTTCGGTTAGCAGCCAAGTTCATTAACTGTTTGCACCACCCAGGGACTCATTGCATTTTTTATCCTGGGTTGAATATTTATGGATCAGCAAGTGCATTACTAGCATTATCACAGATTTTATTATTCCCTGCCTTTATTTAGGGACCCCATCTTTTGTATCACCACTTAGCAACACGCGTATGTTATCTTATAATTTACTTTGCCATTTTTCACTGACTGAAGATATACTATATTACTGCCACTCAGAGCTGCCTGCTTTCTTCTGGGGGCTCACAGAGTGGCCAGTGCATTCCTCCCTTACGGCTCTTAGCTCATCTTCCTGTGATGATCTACTCTTCTGACTGTCTCTGCAATTTATTAAATAACCCTGCAGAAAACTGGGCCTTAATTAATGTTTGTTGAACGAATGAATGAGAACTCCTGATGAGCATGAAAAGACCAATGCAACTTTTATGTGTTGATGTCCTTCCAAGCAAAGGAAAGAAACTTGACACCGTAGTTAATATGTAGCAGTATTATGGGTTAATGTTTCATTTGTTAGTTTTTTTGAAACAATATATAAAGATAGTTTTGGAGCCTCATTTTCTACCTTGAAGAGCCCACAAAGTTTCAGTGCCTGGAAAGCTGAGAAGTATGGCTTTGGGAGGTGATAAAGCATGTTGATTAAGAGTGTTAGCTCTGGGTTCAAATCCCACCTCTATCACTAGTAGCTGTGTAACCCTGGACCACTTTCCCTCTCTGGGCTTCAGTTTTCTCCCTGTAAAGTCATGAGAGTTACGGTACCTTTGATGGGGTTGTCGTGAGAATGAAATGAGTTAAGTCGTGGTTCGCAACCCTAGCTGCAGTTGAGCATCACCTGGGGGAGTTTTTGAACAACCCTGATACCCAAGCCTCATCCCTGATAATTCTGATTTAATTGGTCTGCAGTGAGACCCAAGCACAGGTGTATTTTGGAAGCTTCACAGGAGATTCCAGTGGTCAGCCAAGGCTGAGAACCCCTGAGATAAGAAGCGTCAAGCACCTTATTCATGTGCTCTGCCACCACCTGGGGTGATGCTATGACCTGGCCACCAACTGAGGTCCAGTGAGTTATATAACCTTCTTCCAGGTCCCTAACACTCTCTTCTGAGTGGCATCAGTCTCTGACTTGGCTACACCTGAAGGCATCTGCTGGGTTGTTTGCTTAGAACCACAAATCCAGCCTGCTTTGCTGCTCTGGTGCTTGAGACACCTTGCTTGCTTTTGAATTTGAAGTGTGTCTTTTAAAGCTTGGATTTCTCCCTTGTTTTCTCAAATGACTCACCCCTCCCAAGAGAAATCAACTTTCCAGGAGCCAAAGTAAGCAGAGATTTATAGTTCTAATTGGTAATAAATCCTAGAGTTAATCATTTGCAGCTGTAGCTATTACTTCTCAAATGGCGACTTCATCTTTTTGAGAGTTTACTCTTTCTTTTCTGGGAGGGGGAGGTGTCCACTGGCTGTGGGTGGGTGTAGTTATTATTCTTGTGTAGAGAGAGGCATCAAATCAAGGACTTTTCTAAAAGGGCCAGAATACCTGTTGTTGGAGAATGCTGCTGTTCAAAGCGTGTTTGGGACTTGAGAATGAATTTCAGGTGACCAAGGGGATCTGCCCATTGCTGTCATTTGATTCCAACTCATGGCGACCCTATAGGACACGGTAGAACTGCTCCATAGGTTTTCCAAGGAGGAGCTGGTGGATTCAAACAGCCAACCTTTTGGTTAGCAACCAAATGCTTAACCACTGCACCACTTCATCTCACATACTTCGGACATGTTATCAAGAGGAACTAGTCCCTGGAGAAAGACATCATGCTTGGTAAAGTAGAAGGTCAGCTAAAAAGAGGAAGACCCTCAACGAGATGGACTGACACAGTGGCTGCAACAGTGGGCTGAAGCATAACAATGATTGTGCGGATGGCGCAGGACCAGGCAGTGTTTCGTTCTGCTGTACACAGGTTCGCTATGAGTTGGAACTGACTCGACGGCACCTAACAACAACAAGGCGATCTGCAGGCGCACACTTCATTTTGCCTAGTTTTCTCTTTTGTGATCTTTTCTCCTAGACATCCAGGTAGGTGCCAAGTCTTGACCCCTAACCTGCTGGAATCTATTATGCCAGTTCTTTCTTTTTGGATCCTCTTCTTGATCCTACTTACAGATGAGTTATTTCCCCATTGAATGCAATGCCATATTTTCCCCTCCCTTTGTGCCTAACTTTCCTCTCTGTCACCACACATGTCATTGTCAAGCTCTGCTGTGACATCTGTCCTAACAGAATTTCCTTGGCCCCATCAGGTATTGGGGTGTCAAGTAGGTTTACAGTTATGAGAATGCTCCAAAAACCTTGGTGTGATTGATCATAGAATCATAGCTGTTTAGAGAAGGAAAACACTATAGATTATCCATCTATTCTACTACCTTCATTTTACAGAAGAAGAAACAGAAGTTGAAAAATATTATGATTGCCCTGGTCAGAATGGCAGAACCAGCATTCCATATGGAGAGAGAAAAATCTCTTGCTGATGGAAACCTCCACTCCCCTCCTCCCCCAAAGGCTGGTTTATAACCAAAGCTGAACTCATTGCCGTCAAGTTGATTCCAATGCATAGTGACCCTATAGGACAGAGTAGAACTGCCCCAAGGGTTTCCAAGGCTCTAAATCTTTATGGAAGCAGACTACCACATCTTTCTTCCACGGAGCAGGTGGTGGGTTTGAACCACTGACCTTTCAGTTAGCAGCTGAGCACTTAGCCACTGCACTTCTAGGGCTCCTTGGCTGGTTTATAGACTATGCTTATTGCAGTAAATATTCAGTAAGAGGTTAGGTCTACATTTGTTCCTTAGGAGTGGCCAGGCTTGGAATGAACACGTGTGTGTATGTGTGTGTGTGTGTGTGTGTGTATGTACACACGTGTGCATGTTGACTATGATTCCTTTGGGAAGCAACCCATGGAAACATGCCACATAAATATTTATGGGCCTTTTCATATTTGCTCTGAGCCCCCTGCAGTTTCAAAGGTATGTCATTCAGTCTTCAAAAATACATTTCAAATATGAGCATTGTGAACCAAGAAGCAATTGTGTGCACGCACCCTGATGGAAGAAATAGCCAGCTCTGGCAAAAGCCTTCTCTTCGGTGTTGGCATTCTTTCTGGCCCTTGAGTCAATTCAGGAAAGGTGGCGTGGCTCAGAGGAGGATTGGAGAAAAGGAAAAATGGAGGGGGACAAAGAAACAGAGTGAAACAAATGAAGGGAGAAAGAGAGAGAGGAGAAACGTACCACCATCTGTCACACATAAACAAGGGCTTTGTGTTGGAGGAGTAAACAGAGCTGCTAAAAGCCTCCTGTGTAGAAGCAGGGTGTTTTGTTTCTGCTCCTTTTTTCAGTTGGCTGAGAGGACTCAGCATGAGGTAGTTTCTGAAAAATCTGTGGGGATTCTGGGAATCCTGAACCATTTAAGCTAAGCTTCACCCAACACGTCTGTGGGGCGAGGTCCTAAAATAATGCGTCATTTATGTTGCACCTTTTCTCCAAGGAACTCAAAATGTTATACAAATGTTATCTCGCTTAGGCTGCTCTTAGCCTGTTTGGGTAGGAGTGCAGGTGTACATAGGTTATGATTATGCGCATTTCACAGAAAGGAAACTCAGCACCAAAAACATAAGGGATTGTCCATGGCAACACAGATAGTGGATGGACAGAGAAACTTCCAGGTCTCTCCATGCCCTAATCCAGGGCGCCACTGTCTCTGTTACTTCTCTCATCTATGACGGGTAGCTACGAGGTACAGACTGAAAACATTGATGCTTGACTTTTGAACATACACCAAAGTGGAGAGAACAGTATAATGAACCCCCACATCCTCATCACTGAGATTCCTCCCGGCAGCCACTCCCCTGCCCTTTTAGATTATTTTGAAACAAATCTCTTCCATCTTGTTTCATCTGTAAATATTTCAGTCTGCACCTCTAAAATTATTGTTATTGTTAGTTCCCATCGAGTTGATTCTGATTCATCGTGACCCCATGTGTGAAGCGTAGAACTGCTCCATAGGGTTTTCAAGGCAGTGACCTTTTTCCTGGGAGCAGATAGCGGGGCCTTACTTCCAGTGTATTTCTGGGTAGGTTTGAACCACCAATGTTTCAGTTAGTAGTCCAGAGCTTAACCATTTGTGCCATCCAATTGGAGTCCCTGGGTGGCACGAAGGATTAAGCGTTCAACTACCAGCCAAAAGGTTGGCTGTTTGAATCCACCCAGAGGCACCTCAGAAGACAGGCCTGGAGATCTACTTCTGAAAAATCAGCCACTGAAAACCCTATGGACCAGTTCGACTCTGCACAGTGGGGTTGCCATGAGTCAGAACTGACTTGACCACAACTAACAACAACAAATCTCTTAAATGAAGACTCCTTTAAAAAATGTAATGTAGTATTATCACATCTAAAAATTAGCAATAATTCCGT